GTGAGAAGTCAACTAACGACCAGAAAACCAATATATGTGTGACCACGCAAAATATTGCAAAATTTAATATTTTTTTAAAATATTAAAATGCCACACTAACAATCCCCCACTCATTTTAATATTAGATAAGAGAGTTCATCAACTGAAGGAAGATTACTATGCATAATGAAGGTGTGCTCTGCATTGAGCTTCCACTTAGTGAAACAATAACTTTTACTCCAGAGTCGTAGTGGCCTCAGACTTGAACTATGACTGCTTAAGGGAAATAAAATATCATTCCTCACACATAATAATCAAGGTGTTGACATGAGCTTTATAAGCCAGCACGTTACGGCCTTGTGTTATCCCGGTTTCATGAGTGCTTTTGAGAATAAGTCCAATTCTCATAGGAAGCGACCTACTTCCATACTCACATAGGTGAAATCTGTCGAAAGTGCTCATGTAAGTTAACACTCCATCCATACGGGCTACAGATTTTCATTAAGAGTTTTGTAAACTCAACCTTCACAACTCACTATAGGAAACGATGCACTCACATCATAGGGAGGGATTAAAAAGATAGTGCATTTTTCACAACAAGTCATCAGATGATTAGTTTTTCCCTTTGAACCTGGTTATAGGATCTCTTGTCCCAGATTGGGTGTCCTCATATATGACTCAAGGATTTATAGGCTTCAATCTCATCCCCCTCGATGTGCTCCAGACCTTTTCTCTCGTTAAGGCCTTAGTAAAAGGATCTGCAAGATTATCACAACATTTGACATAATCAACATTAGTGGTACCACTTGTTCAATACGCTCTTACATTACTTTGTTTCCTCCTTATAGGTCTGGATTTACCGTTGTAATAACGGTTTTGAACTCTACCAATTGCAGCAGTGTTCTCACAATGAATTAAAATAGGAGGAATTGGTTTTTCAAAATAAGGCATTTCAAAAAATAAATCTCTTAACCAATTTGCTTCCTCACTAGCTGAAGCTAAGGCAATTAGTTCAGCCTCCATGGTAGAGTTAGCAATTATAGTTTACTTTTTTTGATCTCCAACAAATAGCACCACCACCTAAAGTAAAGACAGAACCAATGGTAGAACAGGAATCACTTGATAAAGTGTTCCAATCTGCATCACAAAAGCCTTCAAGTACAGTAGGATATTTTTTATAGAACAAACCACAATTTTTTGTTCCAATTAAATATCTCATAACTCTTGTTATAGTATGTCAATGTCCATTACCTGGCTTGCTTGTAAACCTGCCAAGTACTCCTATTGCATTTGCAATATCAGGCCTAGTGCAATCCGTCACATATCTCAAACTTCCGATTATGCTAGCATATTCCCTTTGATTTATTACATCATTTTCACTTTCAACGGGAAATAAGTGAACACTTGAATCAAAAGTAGTAGCAACATGCTTGCAATCAAAAAAGTTGTATTTTAAAAAAAAATTCTCAACATAAGGTGACTGGTCAAGGAAAATTCCATCACATGTTCTTGTTATTTTTATTCCAAGAAAAAAATTTGCCTCACCAAGATCATTCATATCAAAATGACTTCTAAGAATATTTTTAGCTTCATCAATAACACTCATGTTAGAGCCAAAGATCAATAAATCATCAACATATAGGCAAATAATAACATGATAATTATTCCAAGACTTATGATATATGCACTTATCACACTCATTTGTTATAAAATCATTTTCAATCATGCAGGAATCAATCTTTTCATGCCATTTCTTTGGTGCCTGTTTCAAGTCATATAGGGATTTAGTAAGCATACATACTTTGCTTTCTTGGCCTGCTTCAACAAAATACTCGGAATGATCCATATAAATTTCCTCATATAGGTCTCCTTTTAAAAAAAATATTTACATCCATTTGATGAATTTGCAAATAAAAAATTGCAGTCATAGCAATTAAAAGTCTTATGGATGTAATTCTTGTTACCGGTGAAAAAGTATCAAAATATTCTAGGCCTTCTAGTTGTTTAAAACCTTTTGCAACTAGTTTAGCCTTTTATTTATAAATAGATCCCCATTTGCAACCAATAGTTTTACAACCCGGTGGTAAATCAACTAACTTCCAAGTTTTATTAGAAATCGGTGATTCCATTTCATCATTTACAGCCTTTTTCCAAAAAATGGAGTCATGTGAAGATAAAGCTTCTTTTAAAGTGAGAGGGTCATCTCCAACATTAAACACATAAAAATCGGGACCAAAATCTTTTTCTACTCTAGCTCTTTTACTTCTTCTTAACTCAAAATCATCAATTTCTTTATTTTTCAAAGTAGAAGTAGAAGAACTAGGTAGTGACAAAATATTTTGTTCAATCCTTTGACCCCCACTATTTTTAGAATCAAAAGGAAATTTATTTTCATGAAAAATAGCATCACCCGATTCTATCACAATACTATCTTCAAGATTAAAAAATCTATAGGCAGTACTATTTGAAGCATAACAAAGAAAAGCACAAGTAGTAAATTTCTTACCCAACTTTGTAATTTTGGGATCCATTAGCCTCACAAACGCTAGACAACCCCAAACTCTTAGATATCTCAAACTTAACTTGTAACCTTTTCACAATTCAAAAGGTGTCAGTTTAAACTTTTTATGAGGCACACGATTCAACACATAACAAGCAGTCAAAATAGCTTCACCCAAAAAATATAAAGGTGCATATGACTCAATAAGCATGACATTAGTCAATTCAACCAAAGTTCTATTTTTCCTTTCCGCTACACCATTAGATGAAGGAGAATATGGAGGAGTAGTTTCATGAATTATTCGCAATGATCTCACAAAAGAATTAAACTCTTTTGACTCACATTCACCGCCTCTCTCACTTCTAATTCTTTTTATTTTTCTACCAAACTGATTTTCAACCTCATGGAGATAAGTTTTGAAATTTTCAAAAGCATCACTTTTATTTTTCATCAAGTAAACATATGTAAACTTAGAAAAATCATCAATGAAAGTGATAAAATATCTATTATCTCCACGAGTTAAAATTTCACCAAGTTCACAAATATCAGTATGAACTAATTCTAACAAATCAGTTTTTCTTTCAACTTGAAAATGAGGCCTTTTAGTGATTTTGGCTTTACTACAATCCTCACACTTTTCAAAATTCTTTTTAACCATTAGGATTAATCCTAAACTACTCATGATTCCAACATAACGATCATTAATATGACACAAATGAGCATGCCAAAAATTGGTAGAAGAAAGCATATAAACAGAAGTAGAGACTTTATTAATTTCTACATTCACTTTGAACATCTCATCACAACCATACCCTTTTCCCACAAAAATACCCTTCTTCACAATTTCATATTGATCAAATTCAATAATTTGTTTAAAGCCTGCTTTATTAAGAAGAAAACTAGACATCAAATGTTTCCTCATAGAAGGAGTATAAAGTACATCTTTCAAAGTTAATACCCTTCTAGAAGTAAACACAATTCGATATCTTCCATTCCAAGCACTTGAGTTTTGTGAGAATCACCAAGCATGATGGTTTTAGGCTCCTCAAATTGAGTATATTTTTTAAACCAGTCTTTGTCATAACAGAGGTGACGGTTTGCACAAGAATCAGCCCACCATCTATCAAAACTCTCAACCCTATTTATGTCGGTAATCACCGCCACAAAAGGTTCTTCGGTAATGTTTGCCTGAGGGTTAGGACACCGTTTCCAGAATATGCCAAATCGAGTAATATGCCCACTCTTGCCACAAACAAAGCATGGTCTCTTATGTTAAACTTGTTGATTTTGTGCTTGGTTATTTTCACCATTATTTTTCTTGGGAGGTCTACCATTATTTTTCTTGAATTTTTTCTTCTTAGGCTTCAAAGAAGTTTTTTTGTGAGATTTGGGAGTAGCATTATTTGAAGTAATTAAATTTACCTTCGTTGTGATTTTGCTCTCCTCTTCAGTATCATACTTACTTTGCAATGCTTTCCGAATTTTCTTTGCACTAGAGTAAGTTCTATCATAATAATCATAAAAATTATCAGATAGACAATTAAGAATATAATACCGACACTTATAGGAATCACCATCGTACTTTTTCACTTCCTCTAGATAAGAAATAGATTCATCATCATTCATAGAGGTGATGTCTTCTTTATTAGGATTCTTCTCAGTTAACACATAAGAAACATTGAGAAGACTTAAGTAGAAAAGTGCTTTACCCTTCCATCTTTTGAAATGCCTTCCATTGAACCGAAATGGCTTGTTAAGGCCTCCTATCTTGACATCCGCGATTTTTTCAATTGTAGACATGGTGAATCTCCTTATAATTGTTAGTGAAAAATTACAAAATAACAGAATTACAAGATTAAAATTGAAAATAAAAATGAAGAAATAAATCTCTTCAGGATGAGGCGCGGCTATCTCTCTCTCTTTCAGGAGATTCAACCCCACTGCAGCAAATGTTTCTCACCGGTCCAGCAGTAGTCCTTCTTGACTTGTCCCCTCCAGGATACAACAGCCTTCATAGAAAGTATAACTCAACAACTCTGGACAAGAGTTGAGTCCAAAGCTCCACAAAATAAACACCTCCCTACAACTAATACGAACTCTCTTTTTTGACAAACTGTATACACTCTATAATATCTGGTGTATCTAAACCAAATGAAGACCACCACTATTTATAGTAGAAGAAGTCTTCGTATGAATAAATAGGAAGATAATGTAGTGGTAAATAATGAAGATAAATGTCCTAGTAGTTACATAGGTTACAAGGTATAATGGAGGGATTAGGAGTGACAATCAAGTGGGCACCAATGCCATCAATGGCATTTTGCCTTTGTTGCAAAACTGAAGTGCATATGGCACTAACTCCAATTTAGAGTAATACAGAATAGTAACGCAACAATTATGATTGTCATTACATCCAACATTTTGTAACATATGAGAAGTGAGAAGTCAACCAACTGCCAGAAAACCAATATCTGTGTGACCATGCAAAATATTGAAAAATTTAATATTTTTTTTTAGAATATTAAAATGCCATACTAACACTCAATAAATTGCTCTTCAAAGCAGGAATATAGAACACATTAGATATGGTTTCCACACACCCATTTTTTGTTTTAAAATTGATAACAGCCTTTCCCATCACATTTACTGTTGAGATATCACCAAAACTAACTGTTGATTGGAAGTTTTCATTTAAATCAGTGAAAGAATACTTACTACCAGTCATGTGGTTACTGCGACCGGTATCCACATACCAAATAATTTGCTCCGTGGGCTCATTTTTCGCATGAACTGCCATTAATAAGGTTTCTCCTTCCATGTTCTCAGCAAAATTTGACTTTTCTTCTTTCTCATTAGGCAGCCTAGTATAACATTCAGATTGATAATGACCAAGTTTATGACAACAATAACATTCTACCTTGGATTTGTCAAAAAATCTCTTCCTCTTCCTTTGTTGTAGTCATCATTCACTCTAAATTTCCTGCTGCCATCTTTGTTTTCTCGGTCTCCTCTCCCTCTTCCTCTACCTCTACCGCTACCCCTTCCTGTAGAATTGGAAGAAATAAAAGTAAAAGTTTTCAGGGCCTGCTCCTCAAAAGTTGAACTTCGGGTCATCTTCTGCTCATGCACCAACAAAGATATTTGCAATTCATCAAGAGACAAAGCATCTATGTCTTTTGATTCTTCAATAGAACAAACAACGTATTCATATTTCGGTGTCAAGGAACATAGTATCCCTTCAACGATTGTGACATCATTCATCTTCTCGCCATGAAATTGCATCTTGTTGCTTATCTCCATGGTTCTAGCACAATAGATAGTGACAGATTCACCTTCGCAAAGTTTTGAAGTCCCTTCTCAAGGCTTGAAGTTGTGCTCGCTTCACTTTTGTAGTGCCTTGATACTTCTTTTTCATTGAGTACCATATATCCTTGGAAGTTTCTTTGCAAAGAATAGTTTCCAAGATAGGACGCTCAATAGCCTGAAAGAGATAATTTTTTGCTTTCAAATCTTTCATTTTTCTTGCTTCGAACTCCGCCTTTTGAGCATTTGTTAGAACTTCGCCTTCCGCTGGAACACCAATGCCGTCTTCCACAATTGGCCAATACTCCTTTGACCTTAGAACATTTTTCATCAGCATACTACTATGGTCATAATGACCATCAAAATGAGGAATGGCTGCTTGCACAAAGTTGTTCTCTTAAGCCATGGAAAGAATAAAATTTTTGGGTGAACTCTACCTCACTGGTGTTTTGTTTTTTGTTTGTTTTTAACCTTGAGCTGATACTACAGATGAAATATGACAAGCAGAACAATGAATAAAGCAGGCAGAAAAACTCAACAGAAGAAAACAAAAAACTGCGTAACTCTCTTACTTCAATAGAGATAGGATAAGTCTATTATATAGACTTTTTACAGAGATCTTATTGCTAAGCACTAAACCCACAAACCCATTACTACTAGGACTCCTAGCAAACTCTGCTATCTAAACTGAAAACACGTCTACTTCCTAATAACTAGGAGTTGAACAATTCAACTAAATTAAAGACCAACAAATGTGAAATAAATAGTTCCTAAATAAAATGAAACTTCCAACAAGATTAATGTTCTACCTTTGTGTCATTTCGAACAAATGGAATACCATGGCCTGGATATACAGTTGAGGAACAAAACCAACATTTTTCCAATCTCATTGTGTCGTCCTGTTATATTTCCCTAATTCACTATGTACCATAACAACAAAGTATTAAATAAAAAACAAAGCACTAACAAGGAAAAAGTGATTCAGGAAGCAACACTAGAGTTACACACCAAAGATAAACTCTTTATAGATACTGAAGGAGGAATGCTTATCCTTTCTTGCAACAAAACACACAAGTAAAATGAAAACTTAGAAGGTAGGAACAGTACATATTTCTACTTACAAACAACACACTAATATAAGAAATATGACAACTATTGCATAACCCCAATAGAATATTTCATCTTGTATATATATAGACATCTTCATGCTGTCAATGCACTTTTGGAAGATCGTTGTCATATCATTTAATCTTGTATTTGTTCTCTAGAGGCCATTGGTTTCTTGGAATTTGAACACTCTTTCATTAGTTAAGGATTCAAGTTTGGTTAATGTCTTGTTATCTCAATGAAATTCAATCTCCGCTTTTGTTATTTTTCTTATTGAAATAATGAGTGATCGAACATAATTTAGATGTTGAATAATTGTTGAAGCTGCATCATAATTAAAGTGTGAACTCCAAATCATGACTAATGAGCCCTTATTTCCCCTGTTAGAACAGCTGCTAATCGATAACCTACTAAAGTTGAAGAATTTCTTTCTGACTTAGCGTGCTCTTGAATTTCAATTCGAATGTTGTGTATATTTTTTAATTCCCTGAAATGAAGATTTAACCTCGGTTCTCTGAGTACACCGAGTGTTGAATAATTGAATTATGATGTGATTTGTTTTGCGAGAGTAGATGATCTGAATGAATGGATACATCAGAGGTTTAATTCTAAGGTTTTTCTTGTGCCACTAGTTGTATAACTAATTAACTCTAGTGCCCTCTTTCCATCTTAATAGTACTATTCAAATAGTTTTTTATATTTGTCACTTGAAGTAACTTCCTTTTTCCTGCCCCCAAATATTTCCAATTAGAAATCTAAAATATCAGTGTAGTCTTTTATATATCAAGTAAATATTTTGCTTAATAAGCTAGTAATCTCTCTTCTTTTGCAATCTTTTGCTCCCAGGAACAAAAAACTAGTGATGGCAACAAAGCTGAACCCAATGATGGTGGATCGAATCTAGGAAGGTAATAAGCTCTCAATGAAATAGTTCAAGTGTGTGAAAGTAATTTCAAACATAACTTGATGTGTATGCTCGTGATGGAGGTAACAAAAGAGGAAGGTGTACATTATAATCCATGGATTCACGTGAACCTAAAATTTTTTGCCTAGAGACTTTGTATTTATAATAGTAATTTATAGAAAATAGTTAATTGTGGATGAAAATATTGTTATTATTACATATATATAAATTTGAAGTCATTGTAATAATATATAAACTTTAGATTTTGAATCCCCTTGTGGTTCTAATTTCTGCTTTCATTATGTTTAAAAGCTAATATGCAGCCTTATTTTCTCATGACAGCTTGCATTCTATGTTGTTTAAGAAGATTTTCAGGAATACTTTTTCGGATATGCTCATGCATCCATATTTAATAGAAACAAATGTTGGGTTCGAAAGTAATTCGGGAGTCATGCGGAAGCTTACAATTGCAAATAAAGACAGTGATAAATTAGATTGACAAAAAATATACTAAAAACATAATATTATTATATGAAAACTAATATAAAATAAAGAGAATAAATCTGCCCATAAACAAAACTTTTTAAACGTCTACATTGTGGACACTATTGTGTTATGTTATGAGAATAAGGATTTTCAATTTATAGATCTCCAAATTTTTTCTCTCCAAGGAAGGAATAACACAAATATAGAAAAAAGTTATATTTTCCTTTTAGTAAAAGTTGAAGCATTTATGATAATACATTAATTTTTCTTTAAGGAAAAAATAAACTTCAAATAAGGTAAGAAAATCAGGGCAAAACCCTAAAAAATCTCCCCCTTTGGCTGGATTTTCTTGACAAAACTTGATTTGTCTTCTTCACTGCATGATAATCTTTGTTCTTCACTTAGCCTTCATCCCTGCTGCTTTCCATGTTTAAAAATAGAGTTTAAAATATATGAGTTAAAAATGATTTAAAAATATTTTATTTTTATTTTTAAAGATGTAGAAACAATGTTGAAAAATATGGTTTTAATCTCTTCTCCACATGTAGCTGGACAAAAAATTTCATTATCATCAAATTTGTTGCAAATTGATTTGAAACCGTGTTGAACCTATCTTCAACCTCTTTCCATTGGATCATTAAATCTTGTGCTCTGATACCACTTATTGGGTTGAAAAGTAATTAGGGCGTCATGCGGAAGCTTACAATTACAAATCAAGAAAGTGATGAATTAGATTGACAAAAAGTATCCTAAAAACATAATGTATTATATGAAAACTAATATAAAAGAAAAACTATTAAACTATTGACAAAATAAATCTCTCAATAAATAAAACTCTTTAAATGTCTACATTGTAAGTACTATTGTGTTATGTTATGAGAATAAGGATCTTCAATTTATAGATCTCCAAATTTTTTCTCCAAGAAGAAATAACCCAAATATGGAAGAATGTCTTTAAGTAAAATTGAAAGCATTTATGGTAGTACATTAAATTTTCTTTAAGGAAAAAATAAACTTCAAATAAGGTAAGAAAATCAGGGTAAAACCCTAACAGACTATGTGTGGAAAATATTGTATATTATCAAGCTTTAGTTCCTCATCAAAATCCTCATCTTGGAAGTTCCAAAATTTCTATTTTTTATCAATATGCTAGTGAAGTTACGAAACCATTACTAATTCAGAAAGTTATGGAAAGCTTTGTATCTTAATGTAATCAAAATGTTATGCATACCGTAAACGTAAGCATGAAATGATTTGTGTGTTTGTTTGAGAAACATGTTCAATAAGAACCAAAATGTTCTTTCAATGTTTTTGGAAAACCTTGACCTTTGTAGGCAGTGTAAGTGATGGCTCTTTATTGAGCATAGCCGAAGCTTTGACCATGTGAATCTTGCTTGAACTCCTTCGTTGCTTCTCTCTGTGCCTTGGATTTCTTTCCTTTTATCCTGTCCAGTTTGACATATTATAATCTTCTCTCATATTTTATCACCCAAATTTTTTAGTCTTTTAGGATTTAACGAAAAAAATTTAAACATTTTATGTACAAATGTGTACTAAGTTTTAAAGCATTACATTTCTTCGTATATTATGAATATCTGACAATTATCGTTTTACGTATTCAATTTGTTAGAGAGCTAAATACTTCATAATTTTGTGTTTGTTTAAATGTAAAGAAGATTAATTGATAACTTACTCAACTTGGCTTGAAGTTTCAAGTTGTGACACGAAGTATTTGACTATTTGCTCTACTTAAGTGCTAAAAAGATATTTTTATAACAATTTTTTCAATAAATTTATTTGTTCCTACTTTTTAAGAATAGAAATGTATACATCACGAATAAAAGAAAAATATGTCGTATTCAAATATATGTTGAAATACTTTTCAGAGAACAATTCTTAAAGTTTTGAAGGGGGAGGGCCGCAGGGGGGTTGAAAGTAATAATGGAGTAGTCTGGTGTTGTGAACAACTACTTCCTACTTTTTGTTTTCTTTCATATTATACAATTGAGTTGTCATTTATATATTTGTATAATTGTGGTGCTTTCTTGCACGCAACTCGGCTAATTTTAGGTAATTTTTAGTTAACATCATTAGTTTCAAAACAATTAAGAGGTGACAAGCCCTCTCTAGAAGGTGTCTTTAGGTATGAAAAAAAAGAAGAAAAACAAAGGCACTATTACTATTGGGGAATTTGCTTCTTCTCATTCATCCTGTCCTACATATACTTGTTGAATTATTGGCCATTGTTTCATAGTGTTTTGCTCACTTTCTAAATGAATTGGCAAAACAAGTATTATTTACCATGTGCTAAAAGAGAAGGGAAGAAAAGTATGTGTATGATATTAATTAACTGGGCCCAAGAGTAATAGCCATGGAATTATTAGCTCTTCCTTTTTTCTTCTGTTTTACATCTTGTTTTACATTGAAATCAAAGAAAAACAGAAGAAACAACTACGGTTGCTTTTCTTTATTACACTAGCCAGTGAAGAATTAATTAATT